CTTCCCTGGGCAGCCTCTTTCTTCTGCCATCATTGGGCAGGACACGCAGACAGTGACAGGCAGGGATCTCCTTTAGCCCTGCTGAGGGAAAGGGAGCCAGCTGAGTCCATGGAGGCACCTCATGCTGGGTCTGTAGTCCTGGGGCTGGAAGGGGACTCAGCTCCCTCCCATGCCTGCCACAAACCCTCAGGAGGTGGGATTCCTCTTGCCTCAGTTCAGGCGTGCACCGAATAAGCACCTGCATGTGAGCTCCTCATCTCAGCTCCCTTGCTCATCAATGGAGAGGGATGCTGGCAGTGAGGTGTTCAGATGCAAATGTCTGGTGACATTGGAGGTGCCAGAGGTGGTCAAAGAGGTGTGCAGGTAATAGATACAGATCCAAGATATGTGCAGGCAGATATAGAGACAGGACAACATCTGAGTGCCTCTTCTTGGTGGCTCCTGGTAATTGCCTTTGGCCAACTGAAATGACAGCTGATGCCCAAATTAAGGGGAATGGAACCTGTCCCTCCTCATGATGTTCAGGGTGGCCTACAGAGGTATTCCTCCAATGGAATGGAGTCATGTGCCATAGGGAGAGCTCAGTCTCTCTCTTCCTTTTCTCCATCTGTTGGATTTACAAGATGTTGACTGACTATATTGGCAGTTGTCTCATGTTCAGCCCCACCTTGGGTTACAAAATTCAGAGCATCTACTCAATTCGGTGTTCAGATCTAGGCCCACAAAGCTACAGGAGATGCCAGGGCTGGCTTGGGAATCACAGGGCCTATACGAAAAAGCAATTCTCCTTCAGGGAGGGTGTGTGACAGTTCCCCCAGGTGGCATCTCGGTAAATATGATTTGGTGCCTTTGTGCCATTGACAGTTGCCATCAGTCAGAGGCACCAGTCATCACATGCCATCAGAGAGGCAAATTCTGTCCCTTCTTCTACCCATTAGCTGCAGGCATTTCGTGATCACAAAATACATCACACCTGGGTCCTTTCTCACTTCCTTGAATATCCAACCAAGGAACAGCCCAAGCCATTTACCAGTGTTCCTGGGTACATCTTGCCTTCAAAGACAGCATCCTCCAAGCACAGCCATGGTTCATATCAAAACTCAGCTGAAACTCAAAAGGCAATTCAAGGGCACCAAGATGAGCTGTTGCTACGTCAGGAACAGTTAAAGAAGAAAGACAGATACTACAGGACCACTATTAAATTAATTGATAATAGGAGTAGACAGATCTGAGATTGCCTATGTCATCTTTGCCTCAGTTACCGCCAGCAAGGTCTCCCAGGCCTTTGTGCTTTGAGGCAGGACACTGGAAGGGAAAGGGGAACAACCAGTGGTGGATGAGGATCACGCCAGGGCTTACCTAGCAAACCACACCCTTACCAGTCCATGGGACCAGAGGGGCTGCAATAAAGGGTACTGAGAGATTGTCTTTCACCAGGAAGTGTTGATCTGTTGTGATCCCAGTAAGGAAGGCACTCAGACTCTGTGAGGCATCATTTAAAATGCTCTTCCTTAGGTCTAGGGCTATAAGGAGAGAATTGTACAGATAATCTTATGTCCCTTTAGATGGCTGGAACCCCAGGTCGTGTAGCATGGATGTAGAAGAATGAGGAGGGTGGAAGCCCCCTGTATGAATGGGAAGCTTGGAGTTATGGAGGTCCTCCACGTGACGGGCAACAGGTTGGGTTAGCTTTTGTCACTGAGGATCAGAGGAGTCAGTAAGAGTGACATTGTGCTGGCAGTTACAAACTACTTGATGATGGGAGAGGAAACAGAAAAGGTCTTTTGTCAGCAGCCAAGGAAGTCTCCATGTTAATGGTCAGGTGCCTATGGGGGACTGGCAGTGCCCTGGCATTCACTGGCCAGGCAAAGCAACAGGGTGCCAACAGCCTGAAGGATCTTGGGACAACTTCTTCACAGAGCTGCTAGGTGGGCCAACAAGGCTGATGCTCACCTGGACCTGACCCTGGCCCACAAGGACAAGCTGGTCAGGATGTGATCACCAGTGTCAGCCTTGGCTGTCATGACCATGAAACAGTGGGGTCTCAGACACCAAAGGGCAGTGA